TATTTTTAACTCGATCAACTCGTCTGAAACACCTCAGGCTGACGTAATGGACATCTGCCTACATTAGATAATGTAATAGATGATTTGATATAAAAGTGATAAGGAGGGCAACATCATAGTACTGAATTAAGGACTGATAGTAATTAAGAGTTAAGCACTGGTACTACAATCACGATGTAATGAGTAATGACGGATTAGGAATCCTGAGAAAAACCTTAAATTTACTTGAAATAGTTAAATAGCCCCATTATGTGCAGAAGAGAACATCCTGGAGAGTTTTCACAGCATTCAATACAAGTTTGACAAGGTCACACTCCAATTAGGGTAATTAAAAGAATCAAAATAAGTAGGAGATGGGCTTAGCTGTAAACATATCCAAAGATGAATTAAACCTGTCATCTTGGCTTTAATTAACACTGCATGCTATCACAAAATCCAACTAGAGATGGAATAAAAACATCAACATCTTCTGGTCCTCCCAGCTGTTGTTTGTTGAAAACAGAGGTTCATTTGAAACAGGCAGGAACCTTTAATTTACTCCTTAATGACTGTGTTTTGATGAAAACAGAAAGGATAACCTTAAACATTAGCCGTCGCCAGCTTTACATTTCCTTATCGTGATGAAAGTGTCCTATATGTCAAGGCTGCACGGAGACTTGCGGGTTTCATGTGTTTCCTTTCAGTGCTCCACAAAAGATAAAGCGTCAAGTTTGTGGCCCGACAATGAGGTTTTGCCTATTGTGCTGCGAGTGAAGGATGTGATGGGAGTGGTGGTAGGAAGTTTCTTCCAAACTAAGCGTGGGTAAAGTAAATAATACACTCACAAGTTCACATCGGCTCGCATGCTCACACTCCGGCGTCGGACTTTCATATCAGCTTCTTTGTTTTCACTAAGTGGGTATAAAGTTTAATCACATGGCGCTGCCTCGGTTTGCTTGAGCTCTTTTCTTGCTACCAAGTAACCGTGTAACCAGGTAATGGACAAACTGAACGCCTGCCAGCTTTGTTATCTGACATCAGAAGGCAACTGCAACTGGTCAGCCGGCAATGACTTGCAATAACGTAAGAGGATGGATAATTAATACACCTACATTTTCTCATTAGGTGCACACTAAATGCTAAATAGGTGGCACTGTCACTGGCCAGAGGGAAGCTCTTTAAAGAGTTTATTAACGTAAGTAAGAGGAATGAATGAGACAGAAGACAGTGGCTGTCATTTAGCTTTTGCTCCTCTCCTCAGTGTTGTGGTGTAGGAAGGGGGTTAAACATTAACGAAAGGGGTTAGGGGTCAGGGGCCTTCGCTGCCTCGGCATGCTGAGTAGATACACCTCTCCTCATTGGACGGATCAAACAGGCAGCCTGCAGGCCAGCCGTCGCCGGGCCCTCCCCGCTCTGTGGCGAACACTTCTTGTTAATCTTACGGTTTTATGCATCGCTGCCGAGGTCAACTCAAAGCGCAACGTGTAACAACTGAATGCGTTTACCAAAATACACGTTTCTGAGGGTCGGACTGACATTTGATCTGTGGCAGTGCTGTTGTGACTGTAGGACACAATTTAATAGACCCTTTTTCACTGCAAACATTTGGACTTTTTATAGTGGGGAAAACATGGGTGTTACTAATAACATTAACGGTGGCTCTGTTTCATGACAGTGAACCGGCATGCACAATACGAGGACCCTGAAACTGAATTCAGTCATCATCAAATGTATTATTCATATCAAAATGTGTGCTATAAAAAAGCCACAGTCCTACATATTCAGCCTGCCACTATCTAAAAGGCAAAATAGACCAAACTTGATATTCACCCAGAGACAGTAGACAGGTCGGATCACCGGCTATTGACTAACATGAATTCATACAACAGCTTCGAGGGTAAAAAACGAATACAAAAAGAGTGCAGAGTTTTGTTCTGCGACAGTTTGGCTGAATATTAGTTTTCTGTTATCGGATAAGACTGTACATCCGTCTTATAAACCTCAATCACAGTATTTTTGCATTTCATATCGAGCCCAATCTCTGGGCTCAGCCACTGAATCATATACACAGTCTTCTATAATCACATTATGTATAATCTTATTTATAAAGATAAAGCAGGCCTGAATCAAAATGCTGGAAATACTTCTTATAATTGCCTTGTGGCAGAGCAAAGGCTATATGGAGCATTTGTTATTCAATGTTGATGATCTTGACTTGTGATCTTTAGTCTATTAACATTGAATAATAAGTTAAAAATGATAATAGGTGATGCTGACAACATTCTCTAAAATAATAATGTAAGCAAGGGAAGGGTAACACAGTCCCTGAGATAAAAATGACTGTAATGATGGCCAATCACATTAATACACCAAATTATATTACTTAATTGTAGTGTTGCAGTTAGCGAAAGCACGTTTAATCTTTATAAAAAGTCAAATCAGATGATATCTAATGTAATAATATCATAACATAGAAAGTAAATCCATCTGTTCCTTACTCTGATAATCAACAAATGAGTTTAAGTTTGGAAAAACTACAAAACAAGTGTTTAAAATACGCTTGTACACATCGGTGTTGTAACACGATTCAAAAACTCACTTTTCTAGAGCCGATGTAATGGAGTGTTGCATAAAATATTAATGATATACATTAATACTTTAGTGTAGTTACTGTACGTGTCAGGTGTGGAACAGGTGTCCCAAGTGTTTAAATACTGTTAAAGCATTGCACAAAAGATAAATTACATGTAAAACTGCAATTTTATATTAAATACTTACACATTTATATACATTATTCCTAACATACAGTTAAGGTGAGCTCAGAAAACTTATTATAGCCTGGCTCGCTTTTACAGGCTGCTGCACACTGAATGTGAACCGTAACAACAACTCGGGCGGTGTGACTGTGGATGGATTCACAGTCACTGTCTGGATGTAGTCCAAGTGTGCTGCACAGCCAGATGTTTCATGGCCACACAGCTGTTAAAAGTCTGGTCCGAAAACAAGCTTCATTTGTTCTGTATGCTGACCATAAAGGCTGTGTTTTGGGCAAAAGTCCCAAACAAAAAAAAAAAAAAAAAAGAAGGAGAAAAAAAAAGAGAGCATAATTTAACAAAGGATCAATTGTTGTTCTAATGAAAACCTGACAAAGGTAATAAACATGTTCAGGTTACAGCTACCACATCCCTACCTGCACAGGTACAAACCTATGACGTCGTCTGACCCCTCCTGACTGTACCTGGGGCGCCCGAAGTGACTCAAGAAACAAAGAATGTGTCTGCTACACAGTATATAACACATTCATATTATGTACTGTACGTGTAAGGGAAAGAAAAAGAGTAGGACAAAATAAATAAAAGCCAGGTGGAGGTGGGTTTTTTTTCTGTGTTACAAGTTCATTTCAAGTCTGTTCCACTGAAGACAGAGGAAGGACTAAGCGTTCAAAAGTTAACCCGATAAAGTACCACTTGTGTGAAAAGAATACAAGTGTGAAAGTTGACTTAAAGTGTATACTGAGTGGTGGGGAGTCATTAAAAGAAATTAAATGTATGGTCACGGGAAAAAAAAAAAAAATAGAAAAAGGAGAGACTTACCGAGCGGTTGGACCGTCGCTTTTTAGATCCGCGCAGGAACATGTCGGTTAAAAACAAGTTAAAGTTTTGAAATGAAAAACGAGCAGAAGAAACACGGAAGGTCTGAATATAATAAGTCACACAGTCTGTGTTAAACTACATGATGTTGCCCTCAGACTGCCACACACACTCCTCCTTCCGCCTGCCCTGAAACAACTACCCCCGGCGGCTCAACTCACAAGCTACTCCATGTGAAGAAAATGCGACTTCCGCCTGAGCTTTCAAAGTAAAACACACATTGACGCCTGTGTTTGACATTTCTTGAGCAGAGACAAAAAAAAAGTAACACATTAAGAACTACTGGTTTATTAAATAAGCATAGCATTATTTTATTGGTTGAGAAATGTACTGATAAAGTGTTTTAATTAAAACTCCTAACGCCGCAGCTTTTATCTTGAAGTTGCTGGCGCCATCCTGACAGCACTGAGTTAACTTGACTAAGCTCCAACTTTACCTCTCCCGTCCACAGACCTGAACACAGGCAGCAACTGTCCCAAAGTTTGGCCTGTGCTTCACCCAGACTACAAGCACATTACATACAAACCCCTTCTCTCTCTCTCTCTCTCAACTCTGTTTTAGAAATCCCTCCTATTCTTTTCATACCATATTTAGCCTTTATTTATCCATCTGCAGAGTCTCCTTAGGAGGAGTCTGTTTATCTTAATAAATATTGCAAAATAAATATTATGAGGATGAAACAGGAGTGTCATGCAGTGTTTGGATGATTGGATTGGTTTGGATTGGATGTTATTATCACAACCGGGCTGCTACAGGAGCAGCAACACAGGGAATTAGTTTGATAACAGTCAGTTTGACCCCAAACAAAGGATTATCATTCCACTGTAGGTCTTTAAAATGACATACTGCCAGTACTACTTGGAAGTTGAAAGGCAAGCAGCACCACAGAGGAAAGCAAAGTAGGAGGGGATTTTCATAAATGCAAAGTAATCTCAAAAATGAAAAGAGGCATGCATAACTCTCTGCAATAGAACATTTTCGGATGAGATTAGAGATCACAGATGTACGCTGCACCAGGTCAGTAAAAATCCTGGCAGAGTGTAAAAACACAACAGTTCCCTTATGATATCTGAACACCAACAACCTGAGAGACTGGAGCACATACCACCATAGCCATGCTGATATATTTGCAATGTTAACTCTTACTAACTCTAACCCCTAGCTGATGGGATATAGGCCCATTCATTTAGCAAGTTATTGCAGATATATGTTGAAGTCTGCTTCCATCTAGTGGCAATCTGATAGAAGACATGTTAGAGTCCATATATATTAAACATCATATGCAATCAAATGGCGTTCTTGTTGCATTAAGCTTAATAAGCAAACATTTTGGTTATCAGTGCACAATATAAGCTACAAAAACAGATTTTCTTTGTATTACCAATGGCTTTTATTTCCCAAAGCAAGGCTGCTTTGAATTTTGAAATTACAAACTACAGACTTTTGTAAAGCATGTTAGAAAAAAACTAAAAATAATAATAAGGCAATGTTTTACTTGGACAAATAACCACCAAAGAGTTGAGGAAACAGTTACAGATTTTTTTTTTTCAAATTGTTCACATCATAAAATTCCAACAATGTGATTTTTTCTTTAGCAAGGGATTTTTCTTCATCTGTCTCATCAAAGAGAACATGTACTCAAAAACAAAAATAAAACACAAATAAAACTGTACTGTATGACTGGTCTGTATAAAATGTCAACAGAAAATACTCTGCACCTTAAAAATGTGATACAAATGTAAAAAGAAAAAGAAAAAACAACCTGAGCAAGAATCAAAGTATATAGGTGAAACTGGAGGATGATGCTGTAATACAAACAATGAACCTTTGGTTGATGGTTAATGGACGTCTACCGTTTTCTAACGATGCAGACTAAACTCTGACTAGTACAAAAACAGCCAAAATATTGCTAGTCAATGACAGTAGGCCACTTAAAATGTTTAGGATTTAGGAGATGAATAAGATGAAAAGAAACTGGTTAATCTGAATGAGACTTTAAGGCACTCTAACACAGGGAGCACTCGAAACAGCAACGATTAAATAACAGAGCAGGAAATGTTTGGCCAGCTGAGAAACCTCACTCAGAATACAGAAAACACACTCAAGAAGAGCATAATAACCATATTTCCTCAAATAAAAGCTGGTCGTCAAGGTCGATCGATTATTGACTGGGGGCACAAACAAATAAAGACAGGCCGCAAATACAGGAAAAACAAGGTAAATGGTAAATGGACTGCACTCATATTTCTAATCTTCCGACCACTGAAGCACACACGGGTGGATAAAGTCCAGGCGGGCTGCCATGTTATGCACATGCCAACTGTAATGTATACTTAACATCACTTTAATTTAATAAATCCAACAATATAATCATGCTATTTTCAACATCTGAAGTGTCAATGTTCAATTTCAGTCACTGCGGGTGTATTCGTTTGTAGACCTTCTCAGAGAGACCTCGCAATAGTGCTGTAAAGAAGACCCGTTATTACGCAGGCTTTGCTAACTGAACAATGGCAGCATACTGCTGCTCCAGTGTGTGATATTTTATATAGCATGCTGCATGACCTGTAACAGTGTCTGTGTTTTATACTAACGTAGAGTCTGCTCTTTTACTATTTCTGCTGTCGACTTAATGAAAGAACAACTCATTCCATGTGTATATGTTTAATACAAAATGGTGCCACATTCCCGCCTTCAACAAGCTGTATAAGGGGGGCATGTGTCTAAGCCCAACTGTATTTTGTAGTAACACACAAGCACCACAAGACGCAGCAGCTACATTTCAAGTGGCGTATGGGAACCTTTCAAATCAATGGCTGTGTTTGAAATCGCACACTAACGTACTGCCTACTACATGCACAGTTAGTGTGTGGCGATTGCTCACAATGAGAATAATCAAGCAGAAAAATGTGGGGAAAAGGTAAAGGCTGAAAGAAGAAAAACAAATTATGGTAAAATAAATGCAAGTGAGAAGAGGAGGTCAGGAGGAGGAGGTAATGGCATTGTGCTGTTTGTCTCTGATTAATTATGTTATCTCATAAATTTTACCTAAAGCAGGGCTTAACTAAACAGACTGAATATGATACAGTACATAGAAATGTTTCTGAAGTTGTCTGTTCTGTTGGCTGCAGTGGTCTGTGGGGTAAATTGGGCAAGAGAGGGTCTGTGAGCGGATCTTTGTCAAATTGCCAATATTTGTGATCTATACAGTTAATTTCTTGTCTCACATATTCTTAGAAGTGAACAGTCTGAAGCGACGCAATGCCTTTTGGGGCAGTGGAGTATGTGCAGGAATCATTCTTACTAATCTAGTATACATCCAGGGTATTACTCGAGTACACATGATTCACATACTACGCACCCTACATACTCAATTTAACATCATACAGAGTATCAATAGTACATTAATATGTGATTTAGAACACAGTCAATGAGTTTTCCTCAACATTTTCTTGCAAATGTTTCACAATAAAAGCCTTGTTAAGAAATTAAAGGTTTCTGTCCACTGAAATGCTAAAAGACTTTTAATTTGAAATGATTACAGGAAGTGTTGAGTTTGTATTAAGCGGATAAAAATAAGGCATTCAAATATGACAATAATCAAACAGAATTGAATTAAAAATAAAGGCCTACTTCAAATAAAGGCCTGTTAAATTCTGCAGTTGAGGTAAATAAAGGCCCCGGCCACTATTTGAGGAAATACAGTATAATGTTAAACAATTTTTTAAAGCACCCATTCATGTCAGTTACTTCTAAAGTCCAAATAACACAGTTACTACTTACTACAGCAGTCCATTAACAGTAGACATGTGTATTAGACAAGCTGCTTGATGCCATCAACCATTGCCTATTATTTACAGTTGTCCCTTTTCAAATCAGTGGTACATTGAGGTTGGCCTAAAGGTTTGTGAGAGGAATTCCTCATGTACTACTCATGACACGTTTTTATCTGGCGTGCAGGCACAGATGTACAGTACCACTTGCTCCGACTACATCATCCTCCTCTCAAGCATGCCCCCAAAATATATATCTCTGTTCTGTTCACACCTTATAGTGGCATTGATTAAACTGTGACCTGTTCATTTTACTGTCCATCGTCCTCTCTGCTCCACTCTTCCGTTAACTTCTGCACACATTACTTTTTGTTGTCCTGCTGCGATCTTGACAGAGGTAAATGTGTCTTTAAACTCTGTCATCTGTAAGAAAAACAACAAAACTTGCTGTACATATGAAACAAGGCAGATTATTTCCATACAGAGCATGTTTGGAGTGTATCATAAATACAAATATCTGTTGTTCTCACCAGTGGAAGCTGCCGTGTGCTGCCTGGTGCTCTTGATTTGCAGGAAGATGGTGTAGGTGTCATAGGCAAAGAGCAGACCAGCGATCAAACCGAATACCTAAGGAACAACAACTCAGAATCAGAATCACTATAATAATCAAATTCACTGGTCACATAAAACATTAATAAAAAAAACATAATAAATGCTTGAAAATACTGTACTTTACTTATGATAAACCTCTCATATTTTATGTTACATAGCTAGAGTCAAGTGCAGGATGCAAGACTTTCAGAATATCCAAAGAGCACAGACCATATAACAGATCTCAGACAAGACTATTTCACTTGGGGAAATCCACAACTATATCCACAACTAACGGCGATATTCAGAAACAGAAACATGTGCGTCAGTTACAGGTGCAGACATGGTGCAGAATGGGTTTACACAGGCCAGAAGAAAGGACGTGGGGGGAAAAAAGAGATGTGAAATTTGCATAGTTTCTCACTGACATCAGACATACAGTAGAGTGAGCACATCCACACAAATATCTAGAGAATTAAATAGCTCATGGAAAATGTATATATTGATAAAAAAAATAAGTTAGTTTGTGTTGTAATACACTTGAATTTAAACTGACATTCAATTAATTGTAATACCACCACAGGATTAACTCCTTTGATACTGTGTTACTGGATTTCCCTCAATGGTCTAGTTAGACATCAGCTGTATCAACACCATGTTTAGTTGAGGTTTCTTTATTTGAGATCCAAACAAATGTGTTTGAGACAGGCAAATTATGGTAAAAATCTTGCAGTATGCACTTGACCTAAACAGGAAGGAAGCATGAAACATGATTTGAAATGACAATATTACTCAACACTGAGTGACTTTGACAAAAGTTTGTGTGTTGTCATGTCAACCATCCCCTGCTTTCAATATCCACACCTACAAAGTACCTGATACATAGATAATGGTACACGGTTGTCAAAACAAACAATGAGACATAAGCAAGTGCGGCGGATTCACTGACCCCGCCTGCGATACGAGCACCATCCCCTGCTCCTCCGATCACACAGATCAGAGAAGTGATGATGTAAAGGATAGCGCCGATACCAGCACGGAAAAGATCCTGCACGAAAGAGGAAAGAAGAAAATTTAGGCATTGTGCAAATGTCCACATGTGTACGATTGCTGCAAGAATGTGTGTGGTAAGACACGTAGAGGACTCACGCTCCAGACCCAGTTGACCACTTGGATCTGCTTGTCCATCTCCATCATGAAGATGCCGAAGAAGACCATGGCGAAGACCATCTCGCAGATGGCCACAGCGGAGTAGCCTCCATACAGAGATGCAGCGTAGCAGATGATGATAATGAAACTGATGAGCTAAGTGTGAAACAGAAAACAGAAAGATTAATGATTGATGTCAGAAAGGACAAAAAAAAGAAAAGATATCACCGAAGACTAACAGATACTGCCTAAAAAAACAAACAAAAAAAACATTTAAGGACGTCATCTTGGTCTTTTTGGGAAACAGTGATAATAATTTTCTGGACCAAACAACTGATCGATTAATTGAGAAAATGATCAACAGAATAAATCGATTATGAAAATAATGGTTAGTTGCAGCCCTAATATAGATCAGCTGCAATTCACCTGAGAGAGGACTAATCATCTCAGAGCTCAGTAACAGAAATAGATCTGTGTCCACTCAATAGCCAAGACCAGCCAGAGAGTAAATAGTTTCATTTACTCCAGTCAGCTCACAATTCAACATCCACAGAATAACAACCATTTTTGCCAAGAAAAAATCTTTTCTACTCAGAAATACTGTTGGTGATGGTGAGACAACTGGACGGATTACAATGCACTCTGTCAAATAAAACAGTCGGCCTGTCTATCACATGCTGAGCTCTCCTTAGATTTACAGCACGTGTTTGTTCCATCAGGATCATATTTTTCCATATGAGGGAAAAAAGTCAGCATGCATTCTTCTCAGTCCATTGCACTGAAATGCTGCCAAAGTGGAGAAATCATAAAATTAGGCAGCCTACAGCCCTGAACCAGCATCCGCCTTTTTTTCAATACCGCTATTGTTGCTACTGTCAAACTGTGTGGGAAGATGCATTCACACAACACATGACGGCTCTGAAGGAGTGGAAATTTCAAATATTTACAAGCCCCATTTTTAAGCAACTAAACCGCATTTTTTTCATTGTCCTTTTCTACAACGTAGATTTAAAATTCCTTTGCGCTGCTTATTTGTACAAATAATATTTTTATACTGGAAATGTTTCCTACTACGCATTGTATGTTCACAGCTCTAGATCAGTGGCTCCCAACCTGTGGGTCAGGGGGTTGCCAAAGCTTCATTAGGGGTCACTAGGGTTAGGGTTAGGCAAGGCAACCTAACCCCGAAACCTGCTCATGGGGTGCTGTTAACGTGGCAG